AGTGTAAAGGTACTACCTGCCACTTCTTACCCACGGGAACTATAGAGGCTTGAGGCCTCTGCCACTGTCTAATGTAACTGTTATATTATGTGAATCACCACTTCCTACATCTTATCACATAGCCCATAGGTTACTGAATGTGATAATATGAGCACAGTGGCTACAGCTATGCCCGCTAGGTAGCGCTAGCTAGCTGGCAAGTTAGCAGACTATTGGCAGTGGAAAACATAGAACCTGGTACCAAAAGCAAGTAGAACTGAGCCGAGTCGAGTCGAGTTCACTCAGTGTCAAGCGCTAGGAAAGGGATATATGTGTGGACTCAAAGGGTTACAGAGACAAAAGTGGTGATAAACAGTAATGTTATCTTTTCATTTGAACAACAAAAGAGTGCTCTAATTATGCTGTTTCATTATGTCTGAATCCCTCAGACATATTTCCACAAACTTTGATCCTGTATGTAATTTGCAATCTGTTTGCTACAGACCCCACCTTCATCAGCTCCAGTTTCATTCCTGATGAGGAGAAAATCTATTTCTTCTTCAGTGAAGTGGGCAGAGAGTATGACTTCATAGACAAATTTATTGTGTCTCGTGTCTCTCAGGTCTGCATGGTAAGGAAACAGCAGTGGACCTCATGCAAGAACCTTTCATACAACTCATACATAAATCAGTTTTTAAAGGGCTGTACCTTTACTGGGCTAACTGAAACAGCGCTGTGTTGTGCTTGCTGCCTTCTTCCCTTCCTGTGGCAGAGCGATGTAGGGGGCCAGCGGACACTGCAGCGACGCTGGACCACGTTTGCCAAAGCTCAGCTGTTATGCCAGGCTGACAATGAGCTGCCCTACAATGTGATCCAGGACATAGACCGCCTCTCCCCTGCAGAGAGAGCTCCTGCAGATGACACACTCTTTTATGGCATCTTCACCTCGCAGTGGTCAGTAAGCTAAAGGACCATTACGATGATGCATATACATCGGATCTGTTTTCCATGAGGTAGCCAGATTTCCCACAGCTTTTCTTAAGGTGCCTCATGGCTGTGCTCCTCAGTGTTTTTTTCAAACATTCACTGATAGAGGTAAAATCCACTCATGCTCAGGGGTGTTGCTCAACTTAAAACTCTACTGGGGCATTGCATGTGTGTGCGCTCTATGCTCAGCTGTGTGTGTGTGTGTGAGGAGTCCAGCCATGCCCTTGTGTAAACGGACAGGGGTGGGGAGAGTTGTGTAAGTTGCGGATTAGACCACCTCGGCCTGCTGGATTAAGCTCCTGGGCCCGGTTTTTCAAAAGGTTTAATCCGGATAAAATTGATCCGGATTCAGTAATCCTTTTTTTGCGATCCATGATCACGTAATCCAGCTTACTTCTTGAGCCAGTTTTTCAAAGCAACATCGGATTGGATCAATCTGATCCGGATAGGAACTTTTCAGGATCACCAAATCTGGATAACCAGTGCTCAAACAGGATAGGAAATCACAATGTAGAACTATAGATATGTAAAGAGCAACAAGTAGAATAGCCAGTGTGGGGTCAATATACGTTTATTATTATTTGAAATGAAAACACACACATTTAAAAGAAACTAAACACAAGAAAAACCCCACCCCATCCTCTTCCAGCAGTCCGCTCATCTGAGACCTACAACACAAACACTGTACATCGAGGATATTTATAACAAGTTTCAAATATAGATGTATTGAATTAAGAAAAGTGACCTAATGTCAAATACTCCACACTAATTTCAGACTTCCTCATCTGATGTGGAGAGAACAGCTTGTCTGAGCGTAGCCTTTAGGAGGCGGATCTCAAGTCTGGCCTTGGTTTGCTGCAGTTTGGTCAGAGTCAGTTGTTCCTCTGCCAGATGAAGCTGTGCTTCTGCCCTTTCAGTCTCTTTTTGCAGAAGTGCCTTGTAATCATCATCTTTGTTTGATGAAGGCCTCTTCAAGCCTTTGCTCTGAGATCCTGTGGCAACTACCACTGGCTCAACCAATGAGGATCCAGCTTCTTCCTCAGGAACAGAGCTGAGATTCAATATAAATACGCTCTCTGGATCAGCCTCAGGAGGAACTGGCAGATTCACCTCCTCCTCCTCAATCCAAGGCTCGCCATCCCCTACAACACCTTGAATACCATGGAGAGCTTGCGACTTCTCACCTCCAATGATGTCGAGGACCACATCTGTGTAATCCCCCCTCTTAAATGGCTTGTTGCCTGTTTGTGGGTTTTTGGCTTCAGCATGGTCCTTTGTTGCCCTGGCCTTAAGATTCTTCCACCGCAATTTGATTTGGGCTGTGGTCCTCCTCTGGCCAGACCCTATGGCATTCACATTGTCTGTGATTAAAATCCAAACATCATTTTTCTTTTTGTTGGTATCCTTAGCAGAAGTAAAACTTCCCACTATTGTTCCATAATGGCACCGAACACCCTCTAGTAGTGCATTGGTTTCAGCAGCAGTGAAGTTACAGCTTCTTGAGTCCATGGTTCC